CTTCCGAATGTATGTGTTGAAGAAATATTGGTGTTGCTATTGAATTTTAGTTACATTAAGGTCTACTTGTATGGTTCTCAAATCAGAATTCAAAAAGGTGATTGTCGTACTTCATAGCAAAGTCAATTGCTTGACTCAATGTTTGAGGGTCAGGTAAGTTGAGCATTAATTTTTTTTACCTCATATTATAATTCGTAGAGAAATTGGTTAATGAGTGCAGCATCATCCCACTTGATATCAGTTGTAAGTTGTCAAAATTGTGAAGCATACAATATTATTGATCGATTACCTTGTCGTAAAATATAGATCTTATTGATTGCAATACTTTCAAAAAATTTAAGACTACGAGAAGTCCAATCTATTTTAGGATTATATTTTTCTAGCCATGATAAACCTAAAATGACTGGATTAGAAAAAGATCTAATGATATTAAATATTATAAAACTACTATGACCATTAGTTGTTATTTCTTTAGGAAGGACTTCATGAGTAACATCTCTTGAAGACAACGAATGACCATCTATGACTTCTACATGAACAGGTTTAGTTTTCTTTACTAAAAATATGTTATGTCTTTTAGTAAATTTTTCATCTAAGAAACATGCTAAGGCTCCAAAATCTAGCAAGGTAGAGGCTTTGAGATATTTAGGTCCTAGAATAATATTTATCGTAAAACATGGAGAGGATTTTGAGGAGAGGATAGGATCTTTACTACGCATTGTACAAGGTTCCAACCGCATGGTCCCTATTGTAGCTGGATAAATTCGTTTTTTGACATGCTATCTCCTTTGATTGCAGTACTCTTCATTTTATGGTTGTGTCATTTCTTTGGATAATGTTGAGCAGTGTACTTAGGTTCTCCATAATGTAAGGACAAACCTTCTTGACGACGACAAGTCTTTTCTTGCTTAGTAAGACGTTCGAAATATACTGCATCAATTTACATATCATCTACTTTCGAATGTATGTGTTGAAGAGATGTTGGTATTGCTATTGAATTATAGTTATGTTGAGGTCCACTTGTACGGTTCTCAAATCAGAATTCAAAAAAGCGATTGTTGCACTTCACAGCAAAGTCAATTGCTTGACTCAATGTTTGAGGGTCAGGTAAGTTGAGCATTAATTTTTTTTACCTCATATTGTAATCTATAGAGAAATTGGCTAATGAGTGTAGCATCATCCCCCTTAGTATCAGTTAGAAGTTGTCAAAATTGTGAAGCATACAACGTTATTAATTGATTGCCTTGTTGTAAAATACGGATCTTATTGATTGCAATACGAATTGCATCATGTTTTCCATACATGGATTGAAACTCCGCCAAAAAAGCCTTTAGATTATCCAATATTGTATCTCGTCATTCAAAAAAAGATGAAAACCATGATAATGCTGAATCTGAAAGAAGTGTACCAATGAATCTAACTTGCAATCCTGGAGTTGGATAGCTTTGGGGTTGAAGTTCAATCATAAGTTGTACTTGATTGATAAATCCTCTAAACTTTGGATCTGGTGCCATAAAACTTCTCAAGTAGGGTAATTCTTGGTTTTCTAACACTAGAAGGGCATTCCACCATAAGAGAAGGAACATGATTTGGTGCAGATGTTGAAGCAGCTCCGATCATTTCTATATCTTTACTTCCTGTCAATCTTGTTTCTCTTTGTGGTGGTAAATTGAGTTGATGCATCGCAAGCATTAACTCCCTCAATTGTTCTTGCATTTGTGCCATTGCACTGTTCATTTCAGCAAGTTCTACTATGATAACACTTAGAAAAGAAAAGATGTCTAATATCGCTCAAGACAAATAGAAGGAAGGACTTGAGAATAAAAAAAATACTAAGGATAATATTGGTTTAAAAGAGGATAATCGGTAATTTCTAATATACTTATGTCTTATCAAGAAAAAAAAATAATCCACTCTTAATTAAGATTAGACAAAGCTCTGATATTGTAAGTGTACTCTTGTCAATCTGTTAAGGATAAGAACACGATAAAGACAAAAAAACGAGTGAGACTTCTCTCAAAGAAAGATGACAAAATAGAAATAACTTGATATATATATTAAGAAAGAAACTGGAATGGCTATTCTCAAAAAGTCAAGAAAACTAGACCCTTGAAACTAGACTGGAAGCAAGAAAGGAGTTGACAAGAGTGAAGAAGGCTTCACTCTTATCTCTATATATACTATCTAACTAGGAGCTACATGGTGACATTCTATAGGACCTCTAATATGTGTTGACTTTATAGGATACATGTCTTGGCTTATAAGACAAGTTTTTCTACGTGTGGGCCACATAGTTAGCTTGGTCTTCAAGCTAACAACATGTGTGGCACATGGCCAACTTGTTGACTACGTTTCTAATCCAAAAAGTCAATTAAAGATATTTATAAAGTCAAAGTAGCATCTATGAAGCTTTCATACCAAATACTATAGAATTAACTTACTTTTATCTATTTTTACTTACTTTTATCTATTTATATATGTAATAACTGGCTTACATGAGTATGTCCGTGACACCAAATTATAAATCTTAACTCTAATCAAATCTTAATGAAATCCTATTTAAATCTTAAATCCTAAATTCTAATAAAATCTTAATTAAATCCTAGATAATTTTAACCAAGCTTATATCAAATTCTAAAGCAAATAAAAATCTCCATAATTAATAATTTAATTATTTATTTTAATTCAAAATTTATATACATCTAAATATTTTATTTGAAAATAAGTATAAAATATTTAGAAAAGATTGAGCTTAAGAAATAAACCTCATAATTTGCTCAAGTATTAATTGATCTCTTTTTTTAATTTTAATATTAGTTTTTGAATACCAATATTTCTTGATTTCACTATCCAATCACTTTCAATTTTTACTTAGTTGTTGGAAATCAAGTCAATTATCATTTTTTTTTAAAATCATCTCAATCTAATTGAAAAATTACTACAAATCTTATAATTCTAAGATTTCAATCTACTTAAGTTTGAATAATCTTCAAATAAATATTTTTAGCAAGTTCAAATTTATAACATAAATTTAATTAATAATCCACAAATTTTAAAATTCACTAATAATCTCAAAAAATTATCTAAAGTATAATTTTTTTTTTTTAATTTACTTTTTATTTCTCAAAAACTAGAGTCACTGCAAAACTATCTTAACTTTGTAAAGCTCTTATAAATTCATTATAAACTTAACTCAATCAAAACCAATGTCCAAAGTACCTTTCTTTTATTTGCCCTTGAATTTTATCCTCCAATCAATAATGAAACCTAACATTTAATGTGGCATACAAATTTGAGTCTTGGAATTTTGTTTTAATCTTAGTTCAAAATTGGTCCTCCTTAAGTATAAATCTTATATTTTTTTTAGAAATATTTGCCACAAGTTACTTTTTAGTATTACCTAAAGATTCTTATATTATTATTTTTGGTAATTTATCTTCTTTTATCTTATTTATGGTCCAACAAAGTAACTAGAAGTATTTTTTATAAACAAATAGCATTAATACTAATTAATTTTAGTACCTCCTTGACCATCATCTATATTTTTGAAGTAATTTGCTACAATATTATATATATATATATATATATATATATATATATATATATATATATAATGTGATATTTTTTCTTTCTTTTTTCTATTATGTGTGCTACAACATGTCCTACGAGTTGGACATGTATTGGAGGTTCTACAAAATGTTACTACAAAGCTCCTAGTTAGATAGTATATATAAAGGATCAAATGAAAATTTCTTCATTCTTATAAATTCCTTTTTTTCTTTTAGTCTAGTTTCAAGAGACTCCAGATTACTAGTCTTTGAAAATAACCATTCTAATTTCTTTATATATATATATATATATATATATATACTTCTTCTTTTTGTCATCTTTCTTTAAGAAACTTCTAACTTGGTTATTTACATCCTTCAAGTTCTTATCCTTAACACAAGATTAAACATATACCATACTTATTCTATTACAATATTTGAAGCTTATAATGGAATTACATTTTTATTTATACATATACCAAAAAGAATAAGGTATTTTAATTAATTATTTTTTTAAAAATAATCTATGTATATATTACCTTTGTATTTGTATGTAGATATAAATAGTATGTGGATGATTTTTTGTATTATAAAAAAAATTAAAAGGTCAAAAAAAATAAAAGAAGCAAACATTGTTTAAAATATTATAAATTAAAATTTTATTGTAACCAAACTACAAATAGTAGAAATATAGTAGGTCACAAGAGAGGTAATAAGTTATTTTTTAAAAACTACTAAGACACATCCAATTCTATGTATCATCTAAATTGATTTTAGTTCAAAAATATAATATAGCTTTAGATCATGTGCATACATGTTTTAATTATTGAATGCTTTCATGTATAAACATGTTTATAAAGTATCCAAAAACAGGTAGATAGTATAACAAACATTCATATCCTTATAATGCAAATATTATTTGAGCAAAACAATTCAGTCTCTTTCACTCAAATCTTTGGGACACAATCATCAAATCTGCAATTTGTGTTTAGAACTTAATTGCATCAAAACAACAAGACCAAATCCACAATGTCCTTTTGGACTCTGGTCTCTACTTCATCAAGGTTATGCCTACTACATTTTAGAGAGTATTAGACATTGAAATGATGTATTGCCTGGCAACTAAGAATGATGAGTTCATACAGCTTCACCAACTCAGGATAACAATCACCTAAGAAACTGATTTACTTTGATGAAACATGAGAATCACATAAGACATCATGACATTGTTGAGAGAAAATGAGAAGCATATTTTATGGAGTAGAGACTTCTGGAGCCCAAGCGATTCTTCGCATTTGCAAATTAATTTCTGCCAGTATCAGTAGGCAGGCTGATTGTTAACCTTTGAAGCGGCTATCGTAATTATGTGCTCTTCGTGCAAATGTTTCCTTTCTTTGGTTGCACAACCGTAAATAAGTTTCACCATGAAATGAATGAATTTCACCAGCACGATTGATAACAATGGTCATTTTCCAGCTCTTCTTCTCAAGTGTGCAACGATACGAAACATGTCCCTACTTTTTTGGATAAGTGGTGTCTGGACTAAGAAAATGCATATCGCAGAGTACCAACTGTCGAAGCTTCTACCAGGATTCTCCTTCTAGTCTTATTTACCGATGAACCATATTGTAGCCTTGAGTTCAAGCTTGGGTTCTTCCTCGAGCTCCTCTCTAGCTTGAACATTGTTGCGGAATTCTGCACGAAACTTCCCAAATAGTCAGGATTCTGTTTCAAACAATGATCCAATTAAACCTGGTCATCAAAACAATGCAGCTCATTTGAAATAGACCCCTCACTGCGTCAACTCCAAGTCACATTTCACGATACTCAAGCAGATAGAATATATATATATATATATATATATATATAAGAGCAAAGCATATTGTTTGTGCATTGAAATTGGCGGGATTATCAGAAAGCACTAGTTGTCTAAAGGGGCTTAAAAGTTGAGGAGTTCCTACTTTTGCACAGCATCAAACATGGATGCACAAAGATAGTCTCGGTTACAATCGTAACATCTCCGCTGCTCCTTTCAATCGCACTTCCTCGTCACTAACTTACTGAAACTCACAAGGGAAACATACCCGACTCAGTTTCTCAGCAATCATGAAGAGACTCGCTGCAAGCGGACATGCTTCCTCTGCATACATGCCACTGTTCGGGTCTGCGGTATCTATCAAGAAGAGCATTTCGTGAGTCACCAAAATCTGACCAGGAATAGTGAACACATTCGGTACATCCAGGAGATAGATTAAGATTTTTATCTGGAGAGTAAAGGTCTTTAATTCCACCGCGCTATATGGTAGTTGAAAAATTGTTATGATAATTCAACATGACACAATACGCTGGAGTAATTCTTCCTATTCGACCACTGTTAGGTTGCATTCTTACGTCTCCTTGTCTTTGGATTCCCAGAGCTTACCAATTTGAGCAACAGCTTCGCTGGAGTAGGACTCCTAGGCCCTTCCTCTACCTTTCCATTCTTCGGTTCCAATGTGGCGCTCTTCTTCCTGCATGCTTACTTCCCCTTCACGCACGCTCCAACAGATTCAGCACATTCGTAAGACACGATCAGGGCCTTCTTCCTAATCAGAATTGCAGTCCATGAATCACAACTCCGTCCGTCTCCTACGCTTCTGCAACATAAAGCTCGTTGACGCCAACACCTGACCACGATGCATCAAACTTTGTCTCGTAGTCGAGTCTGAATGCCGCTACAACTCCAGGATAGGCAATTTAGAGGTCACAAAGCGCCGCACACATCGGCCATTGCACGATGCACGATGAGCATATGATCTCCACGTTGCCAGCACAGTCCGAATCAAAAGTAAAATAAAATAAAATACGAAACAATGTACAACCAAAACTTTCTGGAGCACAATTGCAGTACAAACCGAAATTCGGTCTCTGTTTATGGTCGAAGGTGATTGTGTTTGTGTTTAAAATTTCAGTGTTAGGCTCTTCATCAATTTTATATCCGTTAGACATGAAAAAGAAAAACACTGTGAATTTCTATACCAAAAATATATCTTCAAACAGTATCATTCAAAACCAAAATTTCTGATTTTACTGGCTCTTTAAGCAAACATCATACTATTGTAATAAAGCACAACCTAATTCAAGTACACCATTTATTTCTAATTCTTATTTTGATACTAAATTCTTCTCCTTCTTTTTTCTTCTTTTCTTCTTTTTTATCTTTTTCTTGTTCCTTCCTAGAGTTTTGAGTTAAAAGACTAACTCCATTTTTTATAATATAGTACTTTGTTATGGCATCCAAGTGTCAATCTTTGGTGTATACTTAATAAAGGGATCATTGGCTCTAACATCTAATTTTGGTGCATATAATCAACAAATAATTACTAATCCAATGTGGCAGAGTAGAATAAGATTCTCACAAGACAATGTACACATGTTATGTAGAATAACATTATATAAGAATGTGATTGTGATTAAGAAATGCCATCCCATTGCACTTTTTAATTCCCATCATACAAGTACCCATGTCCTTAACAAAGCACAAATTTCAAGGCATTCAAAACTAGAATCACGTTATTACATTAAATTCCCACATGATATCATGATTGTATGACTCTTTGGTATCCACAAAGAGAAAATCTAACTCTTGTTCTACATCAATTGTGGTCTATTTTATCTGTTGAATTTACATTTAAAAATAACAACCAATTGCTTTGCCACCATGCTCATTTTGTACAATGTGAAAAGGTGGGTTGGCTTTTTACTGCATTATTCATCTTTCTATTTGTACAAAATTCTTGAATTTGTTACACATGTCTTGAATAAATAAACCCTGCTAACTAAACTAACTACTTTGGTTTGAGAAAAGCTTAAAATGAGTATGCTTTCAAAAATAAATAAATAAATTGTTTGATTGTATACTAATGTGATGGGAAATACTTTACTAATGTAATGTGATTCTGCATGTGTTTCTTATTTTCTTTTCCTGTTTTTCATTTTTTTTAATTTGATGAGAAACAAACGTATGTAGGTAATTTGAATGGTATTTGAGGAAAAAATAAAAATAAAAACTAAAAACTAAAAAAAACTAAAATAAGGACCCATCATATGCAAAAAAGAAAGAATGAAAGAAAGAAAGATAGCAAAAAGAACTTTCAAAATGGCAGGAAATTTTAATTTTTTTACAAAAGTGTGTATCTACAAATCAATAAATATTTTACATCTGATAAAAAGTTATATGCATGGATTCTGTTTATCCTGCACATAATTCATATATAATAATGATAATTTTAAAATTTAAAACTAAAATTTCATGCTTGAAAATTACTGTATGTGTATATAATGCACATTTAAAGTTTGAAAACATCTTAACAACTTACATAAAAAAAAATCAAAATAAGTGTGAGACTAATTATTACTTAATAATTGATTTTTTCTTATAGTTGAAAAATTTATAGTTGAAAAAACTTTATTTTAGAAATTTTATGTTATCTTCAAAAAAATGATAATCTTACTGCTATGAAAATTAAATTATATATATATATATATATATGTATGTATATTTGTTTGTGTTGTGTTTCATTGGTTGTGTTTCATAATACATTTAACTTCGGTGGATAGAAATTTTATAAATCAATCAAGAAATATTAATTGTAGGATCTAAGTTTATGACCTGAAAACAACCTCCATTCCAACAAAAATTATCAAGTAAGCAAGAAATATTAGTTGATGGGTAAAAATAACCTATATATATATATATATAGATACATACACACACACACACAGTAGTGGTAGCCCATGTAGCAAGCTAAATGAAACAATTATGCATTCTATTGTTATTTGGTTCTAATATTTGCAATCATATTTAGTCATCAATCTATCTTTAAGCATTTTTCTTCTTATTTTTCATTTGAAATATTAATAAATATACATATTTAAAAATTAAAAGTGGTAATTTTTTATTTATTTTTGTAACATAATTCATGTTGTTATATTTTATGACTCTTCAAATATTAACATGGAATGTATCAAGTATGAGGCTATGGTATAAAAGTGGTCCTAATATGAATAAGGAAATTCTATGAAGAGAGTTGTTTTCGACTTGCATGAGGCTATAGTATGAACAGAGCCTAAAGACACCGACTCAGCCTCTCACAAACTTTGTCTATTTTGTGGTTCATATTTTTAGGGTCACCATTTATTTATTTATTTATTGATATATATATATATATATATAAAAAAAAATTGACAATTTAAAAACACACTGTTGTAATATAATACAACTAATAGGTGAAAATGGTGAAGAAATTATTATATTATAGTAGATCTTATTTCAAATATTATAGCAAATTATCTTAGAAAATAGACAATGTCCAAAAGAAAGTAAAATTGAAGGTATAAATGCTACCTTTTTGCAAAGTAGGCTTCTACTTAATTTGTAAGGCCATAAATAAGATAAAATAAGATAGATTTAAAAAATAAAGAATATAAGCATATATAAAAGAAAGTTAGGAATTTATTTTAGCAAAAATTAACTCAAAAGGGCAAAATTTGATACCCAGAGAGGTTTGTTTTTCAACCTATATCAAAATGAGACCCCAAGATATAAAACAAAGCACCTATAGCAATTTAAGGTTCTTTTGTAAATTAAAGAGTGGAATTAGAGAGCAAACTTGAAAAGGTTTCTTTAAGCATTGATTTTGAGTGATTTGAGTGTGTAATGACTCTTTAAGAGCTTTGCAAAGACTTGATTGTTTTGTGAGACTTTGGAATTTGTGAAATAAAAAGAGTATTACAATTTGAGAAATTATATAAGTTTGGTAGTAGATCTATGATTCAAATTTTGAGGACTTATAAGAATAATTTTCTAAAGTGTATGCTATAAGTTTGAGCTTGATCGAATGGTTGAATTAAAGTTCATTGAATTTCAAGTAGGTTGAGGTCTCAAAAATTGGACTTTGTGAGGCAATTAGGATTTCTAAGATTTTTAGCAATCTATTAATTAAATTGAGGTAAAATTTATATGTCAAGATAATAGACTTGATTTGTTATATATATGTGGAATTTAAGAACAATTAAATAGTTTAAAAAGAAGATATTAGAGTTAAAAGTTTAACATTTAGATTGGAGTAGGAAACAAGCCAACACTCAAATGGATTTTAGAATTTTTCTTCCATTTTGTAAGTGCAATTATCTTCAAATTTTTTGTACTTATTGTTAACTTAGTTGTAGAAAAGTATATAAATTTTTAAGTAAGATCAATGGTTTGATTGATAGATATTGAAGTTCTACATAATACTAGGATTAAATTGAGTTGGTTAGGGTTTGATTTTGGATTTTGGATTTGTCTAGGATTTGATTTAGGATTTAGCATTTGTTTAGGGTTTGATTTAGGATTTAGGATTTATTTAGGGTTTGATTTAGGATTTAGGATTTATTTAGGGTTTGGTTTAGGATTTAGGATTTTTTTTAGGTTTGGTCTAGGCTATAAGATTTTTCTAGAATTTGATTAAGAATTTAGAGTTTGTTTAAGGTTTCATTTAGGATTTAGGATTTGTCTAGGATTTGATTGAAGTATATTAGGGTTTTAATTAGGATTAAATTAGAACTTGATTGAAATTTATTTAAGATATATTTGTGATTATTCTAATATTTTTAAGAATTTTTTTATGAATTCATGTAAGATTTATTGTGGATTTTCTTTTAACTCCTTTAAAATTTCTTATTGTTTTTTTTATTATTTCTTCAATGTTTCTTTTAAATTTGATTAAAGCTTGTTTAGCATTTTTAAGGTTTAATTAGAGTTTATTTAGTATTCTATTAGAATTACGATTTTGTTATAGCAATTTCTATTCTATCTTCTATAACCAAAAGCTTGATGCATTCTTGAGTAAGACTTCATGCAATACAACAATGCATAATTTTAACTTTAATTGGTAGTTTCAATATCCAATTTATATAAGATATTTTATTTTATCTTAAATATTAAAATCAATTATAATTTTTTTGATTAATAAAAATATATATATATATTTTTTTTTACTAAAGATTTTTATTTAAGAGAAAAAATAAATTGCATATATTCTTAACATAATCTAATAGCCTCAAATTTTAAATTTTTGAATCCCATAAAATATAAATAACTTTTATTCATTGGTTCATATTACTTTTGAAGTGTATATTATGTATGCACATATTTTCAAAATATAGAAATGTTTTTAGTATAAGATGTTGTTTTATATTATATTTGTTCCAATTTACTATATCAATTTAATTTTTAATATGTTGATATTTTTATTGATATAAATTTAATATAAAACAACATCTTACATTTATAATAATTGAATAATTTTTAATTTATTTTGAAATATGGCAACATTAATATTTCAATAGTATAATTTTTGTAAATATTAATAGTATATTTTTTTTAGATTCAAAATAATATTGATATATTTATTTATTTATAGCAAGTTTTGAAAAAATAAACTTGATATAAAACTAGTAGATTGATTAGAAACAAATTGTTTATATATAAAGCTTGAAATTCAATTATAAATATATAATAATTTAATTTTATGCTTGTACCTTTATTTTCTATTAATATAAATAATAAATAAAATAATTAGAATAAATATTATAATATATATATATATATATATATATATATATATATATATATGGAATGGTAGAAAATCAAATGTTATAATGAGATAAGGAAAATTTATGGTTCCAAGTAAATTTAAAATTTTAGAGACCATAAAAGGTCAATTCTTTTAGAACTTATCT